CACGCGCACGTACACACACACACACACACACACACACACACACACACATACACACACACACACACACACACACACACACATACACACACACACACACACACACACACTCACACATTGCCCATACATGGATATATTTATAGACAACCCTGGACAATTTTGGCAGCCGCCTTAGTGATTTGTCGTTGGTCCCGATTTTTTTCACCAAATCCCGATTTTTTCCCTCCTGAGATCCTGATTTTTAGGTTTCATACTGTGGCAAGTCTGGTTCTACTCCTTTTCTTCCCCTCTGTTGTTTCTGTCTGTCTTTCCCTGCATTAAATGACCGTTAATAAGTCGATGTGCGTCTCATTACTTAAACTCAAAAGAAGTAAACTGTATCTTATTATGATCGCTCTTATCCCCAGACCAATCTGGTGACCCCGATGTGAGAGAAAGTCAGAACACCAGTCGCAACGAGGATGTAAATCTGGTGACTTGCCAGATGTGTCTTGACGCACCCATGCAGGTCTTGCTGCGTCCGTGTAACCATCTGTGCTGCTGTGCTCTGTGTGTTTCCAAACTGGACGGACGATGCCCCATTTGTCGACAAATTACCACAGACATGGAGAAAGTCTATGTGTCTTGAATTAGGACATGTTCATATTCATTCTATCACTTTAGTTTAAGGTATTATACATATTTACTGGTACGAACTGTATCATGGAAGTCTGTACATTTTATTGTTGCAACATGGCTTAATAGATAGAGCTACCTCCAGCAAGTTATTATTTGTTTGGAATTGAGTAAAAATAAGTCATTCTCAAATAATTTGATCCTGTGTGACGGTAAAGATGTGACTGACCTGAGAGCATGAGTCATAATTTCATTGTGTTCTGTAGTTCATGTTATTTGCATAGCCCTCTTAGGTAGTATGTGAAATGTAGTTTTTTTCACATGATTGAGTAATGATGCAATGATGTACATACATTTGGTTGTCAGTGGTTGTCAAAGTCCACATGTTGTAGCATAGCTGCAAATTGTTCATTCTTACACAACAGTAAAATATTCAGGACAGGATATAACTACACATTACGTATTTCATTTAATGGTTTGGGGCTATTGAGTACTGTTTGTGGGGCTATTTTTTTTTGGAAACCACATTTAGACCGTCCTGATGGGGATAAAGCGATATCACCTGAAAGCAATATAAGCCTTGCTCTACCAAGGGTGGTTTGTGTACTTTACTATTTCATCTCCTCTCTATTCCTCGTTGCCATTTCAATGTTTATTACTGTTATGTCATAGGCCCTACTGTCCTATATCTGATCCATCTGTTGTTACTGTCATGATTGGGGGCCCTGTTAACTGTCATGATTTATGAGATAAATACATTTTCTTAGCTGAAGACATATTGTGAATAACTGACTGTATGTCCCAGTTTACAATTAAATTATGTCATCTAAGGTGCAGCTATGATGTCTTTGGTCGTGAAGTCTTAAAGTCACATTTCATTCTAGCTTCGTGAAACTTGAGTCAAATTGGGAGTATGTAAAAGTTATATATAACAGTGTTACACTGCTGGAAATTGAACTGTGTTCTTAATTAACATAATGAAATTTACATGATAACATTATTATATACACACATTTCTTAGTTCATTGTAACTAGCTTGCACAGTGAAGGTTATATTTACTGCTTGTATGTTTACTGCTATCATTTTTTATAAAGCATATTATTCACTTTGCTTTGTATGTAATCAATGTTCAAATTATGAATACATGCTTAGAAGATTAAGATTTACAATGTTTAGTTAACTAGATAGTAATACGCTGACACGCTATTGTATTAACCATTTTATCTCCAAATGACATAAATATCTTAGAATTTTTATGGCAATTAAGTTTAGGGCATATATATATATTTTCACCAAAATTGGGGACCTGGCTAGACACACAGCAGTTAGGCATGCCTATTTTTTTTACTATTGTTCAAAACAGCTACAGATGATTCATAAGAAAATATATTTTTTTACGGATTTAATCGATTTTATTCCAAAGTTGACTTTTAAAATTGAAAGGAAAGGGATGTACTCATATTTTTTTTAGACTCTAACTTCTTATAGATGTAAATCATGTGGATTTTAGCTGTGCAGTGAATCGCAGCGGTCCATAGTGACAAATCTTTACTCCTCATTCTTTTGTGAATGAGCTAATAAGTTTTAAGGACTGTATCAAGGATGTTATGCTTACAGGTCTGCATAGTTTTGACAACATACAGAATATTTGCATGGGCTCCTTAGAAATTTCAAAGGTATTGAAAACAATTTTTTGAGGCTTAAGATTCTTGGCCTATTTGATTTCTAGTCTGTAGGGGAGAACTATGAAAGTTGTAGTGAACAGATCAAATGAAATTCATGAACTAAAAATCTGATCAACGTAATCTTATTCCTTTTATTATTAAAATTTATAGCTCTTTTACTTTTTCCCTTGGGATTTTAAGATCACACTTTTTAGCATATATGATTTTTATTGTAACAGTTTATGCAACTATGTAGTCCATTCTGATGCAGTGTGACAGTCATTACCAGAATTGATATTATTTATTCAGACATTTTTTAAATTCTAAACAAAAAACATATTAATTATCATTCTAACACAAACATGTGTGCACTGAAAGCGAATAATCTTTTTGCAGCTGAAAGCATCTAATTTTTTAGGCTTTTTTCCAATCTGTACCTGGTAATTGATGTTAAGCTTCATTAGCAACTTTGTAGGTGAATCATACATTTGTTGAACATTTTTAAAAAGCAGCACCTACTTTTCTTGTATGTTATGGTATTCCAATATTCCTGTGATCATTGAGTGTTTTACTTTGCATTTTTGGATGTCTGCTGTGAGCTTTGCCATCCCGAATTCATTTGTATAAAAATTATCCCATAGCTATACTGGTACATTTAAAATTCCTTGCTATTTTACTTCTACCAACAATATTGTACAAATCTGATCTTGATCTACTTTTTAGAAATATGTTATGTTATTTGAATTTTCGATAATGTAAAAAATAATGTTAGAACAGAAAAACTCTCTAATACTTGAAGCTTGGTCTGTGCTGTTACTGAGTAACTGATAGCTCTTTCTCTCTAGTACAGTGGTATGGTATGCATGAAACATATTCAGTCTCAATTAACTACAGTCAAATCTCAATACCACCCTCAACAACCTGCCAGAGGTACACACAGTCCACAGCACCCACTCTGATAATCTCTCGTTCTTGTCCTATCCAGGAAACCTGAAAGCCATCACAACATGGTTTAGACGAAGGGAAATAACTCATCATAATATTGTCCTTCATCTGGTGATGGCAGACTAAATTTCCTTGACATGAAGAAGTGGATGCTATTTCATCAGAGGACAGCAATAAAACACTGTTATACTATCAGTCCTGCTATACCTCCTACTTCATGCTCGTCCCAGGGTTTGTGGTATAATGGGGTGTGATTGGAGTTTTAAAATCCTTCAGTATTTTATGTTTTCATGTCTGATTAATTTTAAAATGTCACTTGTGGTCTCTGTGTTAACGAGTGGCAGCTGTTCATAAATCTGTGTGTTTTCAAGGTGGTGCACACTTTTATTACTGACTAGCTTTTCACTTACAAGTTTTTTTCTGTTTTGTCCTTGTATGAGAAATGTTTTGTTTGACTTGCATACACATAGTGCTTGCTTTCATTTTTTTTATTGAAGGAGGTAAGGGGGGCTCTCGTGGCCTAGAGGTTAAGGTGTTGGCCTCTCATTCAAAGGTCCCGGGTTCGAATCCGGGTAGCGACCGAAAAATTTTCTTCTCTAAAATTGTCTCCTTTCACCTCCTTTCCTGCTCTCTAGCAATGTTCTGTTGTCTGCTTTCAATTCCACTTTCTACCCCCACCCCCTCACCTCCTTTGCCCCCTCCTCTGGGCTCCTGACTCTTTCTGCAGCCTTTCTACTGTTACTCCTTAGCTCCTCCTTACTGCTGTCTTTCTGCCTCACCCCTGATCTTCTGGTAGGAAAGATCTACACCTAGCCTTCTCGGACAAGGGCGAAAAATCTCGGAGGGCCCGTGTGCAAGTTGCGCACGTTAAAGATCCCTAGGTGGTCTAAAATCGATAAGAGTAGACTTCAGCCGCCACCCGGGCAAAATTCAAAATTTCCTACCAACTCAAAATATTAGGTGTGTCCCGCGCGCTCATATGACCTATGCAGTTGCGAGCGACGTAAAACACTTTACAAAAACAAACAAGGAGGTAA